TGCAGGTTGCTGGACTTGCTTTTGCCCTTGTGTCACAGTTGGGAGGACAATTGAGATACTGGAAGACGGAGAAAAGAGTAAGAGCCTGATTTGTGTTTTCCTCTGAAAAGATTTTGATGTTTGTGTCTGTTTTTCCTTAAGTACTGTACGAAGAAGGCAAAAGAAATGCCGCTTGAGTTTACTCCAAATCCAGGTGGAGATGGGGATGCACTCTTTATGTAAGCCTCTGGATATGCGGATAAGATAGGATTAAGTGAAACCCTTGAATCGGAAGCTGTTGGCGTGGAAACTGCGTTGGAGAAACAGGAGGGGGAGGGTAGGGGGAAGAGAAGCCGAAATGGTGACAATGATTTGAATGAAAGAAGAAGAGAAAGATGATGATGATGATGATGATGATGATGATGATGATGATGACGATAGATGATGATAGCAGTAAGAGAAGGAACAACGACCATGATTCAGGAAAGGTGGTCTCGATGAATGATGGCAATGCTGAGTGATCATGATGATGGCGATAATGAGAGCGATTATGAGAACATTGTGCTCAATGTTCCATGTTGTCCTTCAACACATGGCCAAACCTAAAAGTCACAGATGCTGTAGATTGCGAAGGAGTCACAGGGGGGTGATGTCATTGTGATTTAATGCGATAAGAAGCAAGTATGAATTACTGATACACACCCAAACGTAGGCTCCCTGAGCACCAAGTTGCTATACACAGTGACCTAAGGAGATGGAAGGGATACACATGGAGGGGGAGGAGGAGGAGGAGGAGGAGGAGGAGGAGGAGGAGGAGGTGATGGGCCAGAGCAAAGAGTGCTGCAACTAAAATCTGAATGTCCAAGAAGCCAAGGGGAAAGCGATAGTCTCCTCCTCTAGGTTGCTTTCGACTCATTCTTGAATGCGCGCGTGGGGGCGGTGCAGTGTATTTAACAGTATGCGGGGTCGGACTAGGATGATAGATGGAAGCTAGGTGTGTCTGCACTCATGGGAGGCCATGGTGTCCATCCTTTTTTTGTGGCCAAATGCGACCCCTTGGACTATATTCCTAGGTCCTCTGGGGAGTGTCTGGAACAATTTAGTCAGTTCTTTTGGTGTATGCCTGTGGGGCCATGGGCCATATGTATGCGAGGTAGGGCGTGTTCCACTTCCCCAAGCTCATTCTCACCTCCTTACCGCTCTACTCTTCCTCTTCTTCTTCTTGTTTTCGTTCTTCTTTCTTTCATTCGTTCCTCGAATAGATGCTGTGCAGGTTGGGGATGGGGTATGTGAGGCGCTGCGAAGCTCAGCCATTCAAGTCATGTCCCAGCAGAGTGCACGTTCTGCAGGCGTTCCTCTCTCATTGGGTTCACCTTTTCATCTCATCTTAGATCTGAGAGTCGTGTGTGCTTTCCCTTTTGTGTTTTCACATGCAACGTGACGTATTTGATTTATTTTCACTCCGGTTCCCTTCCACTCGGTCTGTCTGCGTCTTGGGTGCAGTTGTGATTGCGTTCATGAATTACTTCCATTGATTTCTTGCATGATGGTTTTGTGCTAGTCTTCACCCGAATAGAATGCCCGGTCATTATCGCTGTATGTAGACTGAAAATTGCACCAAATACGGCTATACTGACCGGCGTTCTATTCGGGTGACGACGGTAGTCTTCTCTGTATATATTGCTCCAATATTAATGGATGTTCCGAAGGACTCCTTCTTGGCGTTTTTTTTGTCGGTCTGTCAATACCTTCCTTTGTTGGTTTAGGGTTTCTTTTTTTTCACAGTTCGTTTATCGGTTTGTCCATGTAACTTTTTCTTTCTTCCATGATTTTTTGCAGTGAACACTGAACTCTGCAAACTTTTTTTTTTTCCTGCCATGATTTACACAAGTTTACAGTGAACTAAGTGGAAATTGCAATGGATGTATGTTATAGCGGAGGCTTGGCGACAACAATTGGGGTAGAATTGAAATGGTTCCTTTGAATCCTTTGGTCATATAGGAGGTTTCTCTCTCTCGTAGAGCACTCGGTGACTTTTCGCAAATCTTTGTGTTGTTTGTTTGTTTGTTTGTGTGTGTGTGTAATTCAAAAGCAGGGTGGTTTACAGGATGCACCTTATTCAGCCTTACCCAGTTGATATGCTCTGGGGCATTTTATACTGGTAGATATCGATCGAAGCTCCGAAGGAAATACCAACTTCCCGTAAGTTCCAACCCATGCTCTCTATTCATCACAGATGGAGGGATCGACTTTCTTCGGTCTGCCTTGCCCCCATTTTTTAGGGCTCCAATGCGCTGTTCCATTGAGATGGCTATAGAATAGTATAGATGCACATATTGTGGGAATGAGTTGCTGAAGAAGAATCTTGCTGTGCCTCATAATTGGATGAGCAGATGCTAATCACCTGTCGAAAGGGGAAGGTGTGATGGACACAACATGGGGCCCGAAACCACTATGAAAAAAAGATGCAGGGAAAAGGGAGAGAAGAGAGAGTTTGAAGTTCAGGTCAGGTTGCCTTCACCTCAGGCCAAGGCTACTGTCTTCACCCGAATAGAACGCCCGGTCGTTATAGCTGCATTTGGCCCAACTTTCAGTCCAGATACGGTGATAATTACTGGGCGTTCTATTCGGGTGAAGACGGTAGTGCAAGTTCTATGCGCAAGACGGTTAGCCCTTTGAGATGTCAGTATAGAAATTGTCAAGGAGCCTCAGAAGACCACAAGGCATGAAAGAGCCCTTGGTGAGTAGAAATTCGCTTGAAGCCTTGAAGCCTTGAATGATGAATTTCGGTGGCAAAGCTCAACCAACCTAGGGGACTTAGATCGCTAGAGGGGTAAGTAACGGGCCTTGCTCGACTACACAAAACTCTACATGCATTTGGATTCCTTCTGGACCACGTGCATTCTGACGAGTCCAACATTTTGAAGGTATTGGGTCCAGAAGCATCCAAATGCATGTAGAGTGTAGCGTAGTGGAGCGAGGTCCAGTGTATAAGATGTAAGGCAAGATAAGGTGAAAGGCTACAGGGGCAGAGTTATGTATGGGGTCCTGATCTGCATGGTTTCAGATTGGGATGGGTGCTGTCTTTGTATGCCGGGCGGTTTCTTCCTGCCTGTTTTCCCGTTTGGAAGGATCTTCTCCCTTTTGTGCATGCCCTTGTGACAGGCAGTATTCAGGTCAGCATGGGTTCAGATTGGGATGCATGCTGTCATTGTCTGCCAGGTGGTTACTCTTTTCTCTTCCTCGCTGCTTTGCGGGTTAAAAAAAACTGCTTCCTGGTTTCCCAACTTGGTTGGATGGTTGTGTGAGCTCATGTCAGGTTCTCCTTTTTGTCGTGGAGGCCGATGAACGTTGTATTCAAACATGCAGTGTGTTGATTTCTCGGATTAATGGACAGGAGGTAATGTAGCAAAAAAACACAGGGTGGCTTGCTTAGGATTGTGCCGATGAGAGCGATGTTTGGAAAGCAGAGGACAGTGGACACCGAAAAAATGCAGTCAAACGAACATGATAAGCGGAGTTCTGACTGCGTTAGCGGGTGTATTTGGTCCCTGGCGTGACTACAACCTCAGGAGGCCTTGCTCCACCGCTTGACAAATATGAAAAGGAAAAAAAAAAACCATCGGCGAACGTCTCCTTCCCCCTTCTAGCTAACGATACGCTTGGCATTTTATACATTTGGTGAGTAGTGCAGCAAAGGCCTTATTGGAGGGTCAGGTACCCCGGATGTGGAAGCAGGTGTATGTACGTGCTGTACCGATTGCGGTATTCCTCCCCCGTGGAAGGGTAATCTGACATCCTACATCACTCACTGCTGCATGAGGTAGTTGCCCGTACGTTGCCTTTCTGGGATGTAGGTAAGACATGAAGAAGAAGGGGAAGATCTGTTGCGGCCCTCGAAAGCTGTCGAGATCGGCAGGCAGGGTTGGTGAACATGAGATTCTTCTCTGCAGCTCATGCTCAAGGGCTTCAACAGACTTTTTTTTTTTT